CAGGGCGGGCAGGCCGTCGGGGCGAGGCAGGTGGAGCTGGCGAGGACCTGCCTGCAGGGCAGGGCACATGTGGCCCCCAAGGACATCAAGGACTCATCCCTGCGGCCACTGCAGCACGGTGGAGCCAAGATCTTGGGCTATAACGTCAAGCAGGGCTTGGACAAGGTGCTGGAGCGCACGTGCCGGCGGCTGGTGACCCCGGAGCTGCAGTACAGCAGTGCTCTCTACAAGAAGCAGTTTGTCCCAAGACCCCCTGAGACCACCCGGCCAGCACGCTCAAGGACATCAAGGACTCATCCCTGCGGCCACTGCAGCACGGTGGAGCCAAGATCTTGGGCTATAACGTCAAGCAGGGCTTGGACAAGGTGCTGGAGCGCACGTGCCGGCGGCTGGTGACCCCGGAGCTGCAGTACAGCAGTGCTCTCTACAAGAAGCAGTTTGTCCCAAGACCCCCTGAGACCACCCGGCCAGCACGCTCCCAGCAGGGCCCTGCCCTGCAGCACAGGCTGGAGGGCACCCAGAACTGAGCCCTCCAGCCCCTCCAGCATTGCTCTCCAGCCGTGTGTGCCGAGGACAGCCAGGCACTCGCTCCTGGGCTCGGGGGCTGCTCCTGCCTGGGGGGGCAGCTGGTCTGCAGCCCCAGGCACCTCTGGCCCTGCAGGACTGAGCAAAACTCTTGGGTGCTGATGCTGCCACTGCTGCAGAGCAGCATGGGCTGCACTGGGAGTCCCAGGGCTCGGCAGGGGGCATCCAGAGGGAACCCCCCCCAGCCGGCGCCGAAGCCTAGCACAGCAGCAGCTCCAGCCGTGGGGAGCAGAGCCAGGATGCAGCCCAAACCCTCATCCCCATGCAGGACACGGCCACAGTGCAGGGCAAGCTGTAAATTGGAGCTGCGGAGCTTGATTTACAGTTTGGGAACGAGCGTGTCCTTCCTCTGCTTCACCTTCATTGGTGCTGGCCAAGCAGCCTCTTAATTAAAAACAACACTCACTGTCACTCCCCTAACTGCCCTTAATTACACCAGCCTGCCAGTAGCCAACCATCCCAGCAGCCCGAGAGAGGCTTCAACCACCAAAAATGTCCTAAGGGAAGAAAAAAAAAAAGGAGAAAGGGGAAAAAAAGAGCATGTTTTGCCTTGACTGTGTGGGTACACACTGTGCTCAGGTGCTGCAGTTCTAGGCTCGGTGTCTGCTGCAGCTCCAGATCTGTGACCTCCTGAGCATCTCTGCAGCTAAACCTCCTGACCAGAGCTTGGAGAAGTTGCAGGATTATCCTGCACTCTGCCTGGGGAAAGACACCGCAGGAATGGGCTATGGTGGGCGAGTCAGCCTTGCCTTTCACACCCTGCACTTAGCTATGAGTCAGAAGCAGAGCCAGAGAATCAGCTGGGAGCAACAGGGGCCTCAGCTCCAGGTTTCCAGCATGATTTCTGAACCAAAAGAGGTCCTAAAAGAACTTCTGGGAGGATCTGAGCATCCCAGGCTCTTCCTTGGGTGGCTGCACGGAGCCTCAGAGGTTCCACCCAAAGGTGCTCCATCTCCTGCTCAGTTTAACCAGGACAAAAGCCAAACTGTGCTCCCAGTGCCCTTCCAGGCCAGTGCAGAGCCCCAGCCAGGCACAGTGCCGGCGAATCTTTGTGGGGATGTTTGCTGTGTGGTTTTGGGCATGTTGTTTGTTCCATAAACTTTCATCTCTGAGGCACATGCGTGTTTGGTCCCTTCCCTAACATCTCCTGCTGGGATGTGGTGTGGGCTCATGGTTTGCAGAGGTCTGGATCCCCTTGGGGTTCCTGGGGGCCTGCAGGTCACCCTAGAGGGCAATTCCCCAGGAAAGCAACAGGGATGGTCAGCCCAGGGACAGCGCAGCACCCCAAGGTCATCCTCCAACACCCTCGTGGGATATAGGAGGGTGCAGGGAGGAGCAGGGCTGGGCTCACAGCACCAAACCTGCATCCACCTCCTTCACTCCAGATTTTCATCAGATGCCCCTTCCTGATTCCCTGTTTGCACCTCAGGAAATAGGAGCAGATCATTTCTGCTCCAGCTCCTGCCAAGGTGACCCAGGACAGAGACACTGGTGTAACCAGAGCATTGTGTTCCCCCCTGTGCACTTCCCTGTGCCCCAGGGTGCAGCACCCCATGGAGAGCCCCAGCACAGCCTGGGGGATCCCTGTTACCC